GTGAACCTTTTGTTTCTCTGTTATATTAAGAAAAATAAAATAAAAAATAAATCTAGGCAAGTTATGGTTTTCATTTTTCGTTGACAAGAATGACCATCTTGACTTTAATCTAAGTTCTACTTTTTCTTCCACGACAGCTCAAACTTTAGCTTAGTTGTAGGGAATTACTCAACCTTTCGTGACCGTCCGATCTTGATTGATCATATCCAAATTCCAACCTTCTAATCTACAACTTTAATTAATGATGGTAACGGTGTGTTGATTGTTGTAGTCAAACCCTTGTTAGAAAAGGTAGAAAATCCACCTACTCACTATGGAAATAGCTAGTAGCATCGTTGTTCTCATTGCTCCTCTTATATATATACACAGATATGGATATCGTATGGTATTCGCTTATTCAACTCTCATACTCTAGTGGGATCATTGTTTTTATTATTATTATATTTATATAAAAAGAAACATTATGTATAATAATTTTTAAATCTTACAGTACAATTATTTATCCCGATCAAAGAAAATAAGCAAGTGTCACTGTCATTCTCGTCCAAGTATATATATATATATATTTGTAGTTCGTACATAATGAAAAAATAAGTGTTTATTGACTTGGAAATGCTTCGATAGTCCAGTGAGTAGTGTCTTTAATGAATTGTTTATTGACTGGGAAATGTTTCGATAGTCCAGTGATTGGTGTAATGTTTTGATAGTCCAGTGATTAGTGTCTTCAATAAATTTTGAAAGTGTCATGTTTCGATTATTTGCACCTGCTAATCTAACTTTTAACCCTTCTTGTCTTGTAAAAAAATAATAATAATAAATAAGAGTGTTTATTGACTGCCAGAAATTACATCAAAACCAGTCCAAACCGAAATTTGATTGGTAGGCTGTGTCTAGCTCATTCCAAGCACAGTTAGTAGACACCCTTATACAAAACAAGACACGACACACTAATTAGATTTAAACACGATTCATTATAAATATATTTGAATTTGATGATTTAATTGTATTCAGATCGGTCATAATTATATTGATCTAATTTAATATATTAATTAAACATGTGGTGTACGTATTTGATCTCATAGTTAATTTAAAATTCGATTAGAAATGAGATATTTTTTCCAACCAAATGTACATGTTCCTATTAGCTAGAAATGACTCTTGTATGAAATTTTTAATAAATATGCCAATAAAAACTGGGACAGGTCAAGTCTTAGTCATGTACTACATGTTAAATAAGTTGGGACAGGTCGTGTAGTATTTTTATTTTAATAATTATTTTTGTATTCGGGTTTAGGAGAAAAAAAATTTTGTACTGCGGTATCGTGCATCGAGCGCATTTAATCGTTTATTATCGCACATGTATTACATAAGCGGTCCGAATGTACCTATTGCAGAACATATTTATGTTATGATATGTTAGGAATGCAATAGAGAAACACCAATTGCCACCCCAAACAAGTATCCACCTACCCAGTGACTAGAATTAATAGGCTTTGAACAAATTTACAGCCCAAAAAAAAACTTATGATTCAGCTCTACTATGTTCGCACCGACAGAGCGTGTTAATAGGATAGATGTTCAACTCATCGTGTGTGTGTATATATATAAATTTAACTTACTCAGAAAAACATATTATTTATTATATAAAATAAATGATGATGTCCAAAATCTAATTGTTGATTATAAGTTGAATGAATTTCACCTATTCGAATGGTTAGGTAATTTTCGTCATGTCAAAATTTTTTTTTTTTCGAAAGGTCAAATTTAGTTACCGTCTAAATTGTTGAATGAATTTCACCTATTCGAACATGTTTTTTGTCCCCTTTTTCGCATTCACTTTGGCAGCCATCGTTAGGTAATTTTGGTCATGTCATTTTTTTTTGTTTTTTTGAATGTCAAATTTAGTTACTGTCTAACATCTAGACGAAGTCTTTCTAACCCAAAGCCTCTATAAATGTCACTTCCAAATTTATTTTTTATTTTTGTTTGTAAAAAGGACAATTTACACCCAAAAAAAAAAAATTTCTAATATTTTCACATCGTGTAAAAATATTCTCTCTAACATAAATTTATATTGTAATATCTGTTTTACCCTTTACTCTTCTGAAAATACTGAAAGGAATATAATCACTACGCTTCTAATCTCCTAGTGTAACAAGGGTCATTTTATCCCACATCGGAATCGGATGGGAAAGAGATTGGGTATAAATGAGTGGGTATGCAGCCTTACCTAACAGTTCGAGCTTTTGGGTAAATGGGCAAGCGTCCACCCGTTACAACAGTCCTTGATCCGGTGCCACGCCAAGCGCCCGGCCCGGAAGGCGTCCGAGTGAGTCCACCCGGGTAGGCAGGGTGGCCCAACCGCAACGAGGGCGTTGCGAGTTCGGGTGGGGGAGAATGTTACAAGGGGAAACTTGTCCCACATCGGATCCGGATGGGAAGTGACATGGGTATAAATGGGTGGGTATGTAGCACTACCCAACAGTTCGAGCTTTTGGGTAAATGGGATAGCGCCCACCCGTTACAGTTGGTATCAAAGCCAAACCCAATCCTTGATCCGGTGCCACGCCAAGCGTCCGGCCCGGAAGGTGTCCGGGTGAGTCCACCCGGGTAGGCAAGGTGGCCCAACCGCAACGAGGGCGTTGCGAGTTTGGGTGGGGGAGAATGTAACAAGGGTCATTTTATCCCACATCGGAATCGGATGGGAAAGAGATTGGGTATAAATGAGTGGGTATGCAGCCTTACCTAACAGTTACAACTGCTAGTCATATTAATAATCACTGACAGTGCAAATGAGATGATGATCTGTACCAAAGAATTTGAACGTACTATGAACCGCCAATCAGTAAATTTATATAGGGAAACAACACATCTGAACCAGATAATAACAAGTGAAACAAAATGGAAATTTAACTGCTGCTTCCCAATTAAGCAAACTGCCAAAGTCTACTAATCTTAGTTAGGATCCAAAATTTATTATGTGCACATTATCTTATATATTTTTTATTTTTTGAAACTTTTTTCTTTATATATATCTCTAAACATTTTTTTTAAAAGTTTTGAAAATTTGTAAAATAAGAATTTGAATTTTTTAATATTTCAGTTTACTCTTTTCTACTAAAATTTATTTTTCTTTATTATTTTTTTTTACCAACATTGTAAAAAAAAATTCCAGTATCAGTGTGCACTGGTTTTCAGAGTTTGGAGCAAATTTGTTTTCTTTAGTTTACACTTTATTTTTGTTTTTTATTTTCTATTTTTGTCTTTACTTTTCTTTTATACTTATATTTTTATCTTTACTTGTCCATTGCCAGCATCCTCCAATTGTGTTATTTTCGGTCATTTTATAAAAAAAATTATTTTTATATATTTTATAAATTGGTTCAGTAAGGGTTATTTAGTTAACTTAGGGTTTAAATTTGTCCAATGAACCTATTTGCACCAGATTGAAACTTTAAGAGTGTTTTTTAGAAGGGCATCCTCCAATAGTGTCATTTTCGGTTATTTTATAAAATTATCTATTTTTATATTTTTTATAAAATGGTTCAGTAAGAATAATTTAATCAAATTTAGAGTTTAAATTTGTCAAAGTTACCTATTTGTACCAAATTAAAATTTTAGGAGTATTTTTTACACATAAAGGGTGTAATATGCACCGTAAATATACTTTAGAAATTTTTTTTACACTTGACCCAACATAATAGACCAATACTATTTTGTTGTATCTTTAACTTAAAATTTAAAAAAGTTTAGTTCAAAATTTATATTAAATTTTTTATAATTCTAAATTCAATACATCGATTTGACGCATCTGTTAACTAATAAATTTAGTAGTAACACTCTTGATTATTAATGTTATAGTGTGATTTTGCATTACGATATACCCTACCAAATACAATGCACGGAAATTTTCATGCAGTCTAGGGTAAAGATTGGCGGTGAAGTATGTCCATTGGTCTTTGTTGGTTAGGAACAACTCAATTATACAACTCTAAAAGTTTTCTAAGTACTTGGGTCCCCCTTATCATTGCGAATCCTTTTACGTCACGTTTTTGACGTTATTGTCTTTAGTCAACTCTCTCTCTCTCTCTCTCTCTCTCTCTCTCTGAGCCCAAAACCTACATACAAATTTTCATAGCTATAAAAGGGCGTATTAGTGATAAACGAGAAAGTGAAATGAAATTTGGAGCTAGCAACTCCCTCGGAGTAGTTGGCTGGTGCAGGTCGAAAGGTTCGGTCAATGAATTGATCATAACTCACCATTCACAAATTATATATATATATAATATATATGCATACAAATATAATAAAGGGTATATATTTTTAAACATAAAGTTACAGAAACTATAAGAAGAAAAACATACTATATTAGACACCAATGTGGACATCAATGAGCTTCTCATTCAAGACTCGTGTCTTCTTTTTCCTTGAAAGTTCGCTGTAATTGCAGAGAAGACATATCGGACATTATATATGGAATCTATCTTGGACCATCTCGTGGTTGAAACATGCATTTACTATACTATATATTTGCTACCTATGTAGCTAATCGTGTTTCCTTCTTTTCCTATCATTTTCTAGGAAAATGAAATTGAGGAACTAGATGGAAATTCTTAACATGGAAACTTTCTCCCAAAGTAGCTTATTTGCATTGACTACAAGTTGCCGGTTACATATACAGAAACAACATGTTTAATAAGTACTTACCTGGAAAAAAAAAAAAAAAAAAACATGCTTAATGAATACTCCGTAACTCAAACTATTAAACACCATGATTAACTAACACTATCCATGATATATATATATATATATATATATATATATATATATATATATATATATCATGGATAGTGTTAGTTAATCATGGTGTTTATATATATATATATATATTTGTGGATATTTGGAGTTAACTAGCACCTTGTAAAAAAAAAAATGCACAATGTGATTGGTCACTTGAAGAAATGTGAAAATGGATATCAACACTACACAAGTACCAGGTTCTTTGTATAATACACAGACAAACACATATAGATATTTATACATATGATGAATGTATTGTGCCGCAATACTGTATATGGAATATATGAACAGTATATATTTATATATACTAGGAAGAAAAGAAAAAAAAAAAAGGGGTGGGGCAAACTCCAAAGTCCAAACCTTTCACAACACATGATCTAATTAAGGCTAGCTAAGCAATCTCATGAAACAAAGGGTCTTCAAGGAGGATGTCTGGCCAAAATGAAGGGGGAGATCCTCCATAGCTAGAGGTACTACAAGCATCCCCTGTATTATTCGTGATCGACGTCTCGGTCATGTGTGGGGCACCAAGTGGTGTAGGAGATTGAGATGAAGATGAAGGAAGTTGCCATAGAGAATTAGTACTTGGTGAATTAATTTCAACTTGACCACCGAGCACCGCGAAGTTAGAGGCTTGAACTGTGTTCTTGTTCATAGGTGTTTGATTAAAGCCACAAGGGAGTACCTGTAGGTCTGGCAAATGAGAGAAAGAGATGGAATCATGGATTGATTGAAGAGCATTATTATTAGGTCCAAGAGAAGATGGGTTCTGAGAAATTTGATCAAACTGGGGTGAATTTAAAATGGGGCTGTCTTTCATTGAAGAGAGTGAGTTCAAAAGATTGTAACTGTCCATGTCTGTGACAGTACTAGTATTACTGTTCATGACGTTGTTGGAGAAATTAGTTGGCATTGAAGCTGGAGGTTGAAGGAGGTACTGTAGATATTGGAGCTTAGCCATTTGAGCAGCTTCTGTTTGTAGTCTCACAGCCTGTTCTTCCCATGAATGGTTCTCCATCAGCTCTTTCAGGTTAGCCAGAGCTATCAGATGAGGAAGGCTCGAGAAAATATCGGTTCGCGGACGGTGAGTCATTGGATCAAAACCCATCTGAATTAGCTTCTTCTTCAGATGAGTGTTCCAGAAATTCTTGATTTCGTTGTCTGTCCTTCCGGGAAGGTGGGTTGCAATAGCAGACCACCTTGTGAAAAATAAAATAATAAATTGTATAATTAGTTATATATCACTGTATGTATGTATATATATATATATATGAAAAGGATTTAATTCAAGAGTTTATATAAATTACTTGTTCCCGAGGATGGAATGGAGATTTAGAATTGTTTGTTCCTCCTCTTGTGAAAACTTTCCTCTTTTGATATCAGGCCTCAAGTAGTTTGTCCATCTTAATCTGCAACTCTTTCCACATCTGTTAAGACCTGCAAATTAAGCAGCAACTTAATTAGAGAGAGAAAGAGACCTATATATATATATATAAAGATTGAGAGAGAGATGAGGATATTGCAGGTTCATGTAGCTAGGTACCTGCAAGTTTAGGGAGGGCTCTCCAGCTTCCATGGCCATGTTTCTGGATATATTTGACAAGTTTTTGATCTTCTTCAGGAGTCCAGGGACCTTTCTTGAGGCCACTCTCATCACAACAAGGAGACCTTCCCATTTTTAAATTTTGTATTTGTATATCGATCTATGTTCCCCTATGGATTGTCTGCCTCCCTCCTATCCTACCAAAACCGGGAGGTTTCTATATACATATATATACACACTAGTCTCCCCACTTGTCTTCTTATTCTTTACCCATACAAGGTGACTGACGTGGCATTTGCTTGCAGCAGACCAACGACACACTTTTCATCTTGAAATGACCAACATATCCTTCCCACTAATATTTCATGTATATATTATATATACACACACTATTATTATATTAAGGATGTGTATGAATGTGTTGAAAATGTCAATCCGATCTCAACAAATTCAAATCTTATAATTTGATTCAATTGTAGATTAATCAATAGTTTGGTTTAAAAAAAAAAAACTTATTTTAAGACTTTAAATTCATATAATTAATATTAATAATATATAAAGCAAGCTAAGGCAGCTTGTAAAACTGAACCAATCCATACAGTACTAGTTTTTATATGGTTGGAATTGGTTCACTTTAATTATACTGTTCACCATCGATTTAGATCTATTTTAATTTAGTTAGAGCTGTTCGGATTAAAACTATATATATGTGTGTGTGCGCGCGCGCGTGCATGGGTGTACAACTTTTTTTTATTATATATCTAATCTTAAATAATTATCTAAAACAAATATTAATTAAGGTGTCATTCAATAACACAATGCAGTGTATTTGACAATGTAATTTGGATATTGCTTGAAATAATAAATTTAGTGAGAAAGATTTCACTTATCGTGAACACTAACTAAACACTTAAAATTCAAACAAGAATCAAATTAAGGAACAATATTCTTTTGATGGTGGAGGTGTGTAGTAGCTTAAATCCCGAATGTATGCTCTTGGAGCTCCAATCGAACATCCAACCATTGCATTGTCCATTTTGTTCTAGATCTACTACGTTGTGTCCGCACCATAACATTGGAATGAAGCATTGAATCAATATGCAGTACATATTTATGCACACTTTAACAATTTTTTATCTCTCCTTCAACGATTAGTAAAATCTTGAATTCCCCTACATTAAAATGACATGATCAAGTCAATTGATCACCAAAAATTACGCTAATGTGAAAAATACAAATCAATTTCTTTTTGTCAATTTAACCAGCATATTATCTTAGCAATTACCTCCTTAAAACTAATGGCAGGCTGTTGTTTTTCCGACTAAGTGGTTGGGAAAATGTTAAACTCGAGACAAAGTGGATTGGATGAGTTATTTATTACGGAGTAGAATATAAAATAATAAAATAATTTAAATAAAAAATTATTAGATAATTTTAGAGTATATATATCAGCAATGGTAAATTAAAAAAAAATTAATAATTATTAATTCATTCGTCGGGAACACTTTAAAGTTGGCATCCGTGGTAGCCAATAATTTTCCGCGATCGAGATTGAAGGGTAGTCATCAACATTAAAATTAAGAAAACTACAAACTAAAGCACTACATAATAAAGCCATTATACATTTATTTTTGGGTAAGAATAAAACCATTATACTTGGGGAAATAAATAAATAAATAAAAACGCATATTACTATCATGAAACAGGTGGCAGTTCACCGGTGGTCGGAGGAACTCATTCCATGCACGCAAGAGGGGGCAATGTTTCGTCATTGATTGCATGGAACTTTACGTATTTATATAGATTGGGACCTCGTTTCCGAAACTTCTGGCCGCCTTACGTGTGTATATATGCGCAGTGCGCACATCAACGAGATATATATATATATCTTCCAAAGTTCCCTCTTTTTAATATATTCATTCCTCTCTTGGCCAATCTATATACACATATTTAAAATATACACAATTCAAAACTTATTCGTGTGTGTATATATATATACACACAATGTAATAGTTACACATACAGGATCTACACCCTCGAAGCAACAATATTTAACGGGAAAAAACATTTCAATAACCAGGACCTAATTACTGACAGGGATTAGAGTAGTTATTTTCTGTTGAAACCCATTGTCATTCCCAGAAGTGATATATATATCTGCAGGTAACGTCAAAAACAAATTTTAAAATTTTCTGGAAATTATTATTAATTTTTTTTAAATCACAAGAAAGAACACCCACATTGTCTATATGGAAACTTGATCCTTCAACGAATCATGTAATCATCTTTGTAAACACCATTTTATTCTATCAATGTAATACTTTACCTTTCTGAAAAAGAAAAGGAAAACAAAACAAAAACAAAACCAAAAACTTGAACCATCACATTCTACTTTGAAAGGTAAGAAAGTGACATTAAGCTACAACATTGATGGGAAATATTTTTGAAAATTGCAGAGAATGGACAAATTAATTCAGAAATAACAATATATAGAACCATTCTAGAAATTATATCATGTGGAAATAAAGGAGAGTTATTGCAAATTCCCATTGTACGTGGACCAATTTCTATCCAAACATCAAAAGAGACTTCTATACATCTGTAATACAATACTACGTGTAAAAGTACTTTATTTTAATGAATCACGTCATTACATGTCATTATTTAATCAAATAGCGATTTCATGTCATTAATACAATCAAACAATAAATGTCATTGTCATATAATTTCCCAATCCATGTTATAGTATAGAGTAATGATACTTGCACCGATTTGTTACATCGAATTGTTGCAAGTTTGACAATTCATTACAACAAATCGCATAAATAAAAATGTGGAACCCTCCACTTACATGTACTATACATAAATAACCAATTAGAAACGTTCGGTGCAATAAATTGGTACAAATATTATTACTCTATAGTATATAGGATGTAACCGTGCTTAACATCTCCTTCGGAGAAAGGAGATCAGACCAGACTAGACCATTCGGACTAATGTACATTGGGATTAGCCTTATAAATGCTTTATATATATATATATATATATATATTATTATTATTATTTTTTTTTTCAGAAGGTATAAATGCCTAATATTGAAAATATAGTATATGAGAATATTAATTATAGAATATATTTCCATGTGTGCACCATGATTTTGCATATGTAATCAACAACAGTGATCATAGGTACGTCTCTGTTTTTATTTTTGTTTGGAGGTTAGGTTTTCAAAACCCAATTCCATATGTATCTTAAGCAACATGAATATAAATGGTATGTGGTATAAACACAATTCTTGAGTTGTATAATGGAATGCTTGAAACACAATCAATCATAATGATAAAATAACAAACTATTGCATATGTTCAACACCGTTGTAATCGTAAAAAAAAGAAAATGGGTTTCATCACAGAACTTACACAGAGAAAGGGACATGAAGAGATGTGACTCATTTGACCATTAAGGAAGCTGATTAGAGGGGAAGTTGGTACATCAAACTCTTCAATTTCCACCACCTTTGAAACCAAAAAGACATCCTTCCTTCACCCTAACAACACGTTAATGCCCATTCCTTTATTCATCCTTGTCCTCTTCTTCTTTGTCCTGCATCACACACACACGCACACACAGATATATCTAGAGAGAGAGAGAGCCAACATTCACCGGCAAGATGCAGGAATTTTTCCAAAAATGGGAAAATTAATGAGTATATATTAATTTCTCAAACAGATCGATTGTATTCAAAATCCTGAAAGATCTCCTTTTTTTCTTGTTTTTTGAAAATTATTGTTATATGTGTTGATATATATATTTATAAATAAATAAATGAATAATTAAATAAGCTCATTTAGGTTAATTCATTTTTTGACATTGCATGTGTTAGCATATAATCAATGTGGATGCGCGCGCATACACATATGCATGCAGAGGCTGTGCCATGCATTGATAAATATATAATTGATGTTGTATTAATTCTGATATATATAATATATGCCGGGTCCATGTTTTTTTTTTTTTTTTTTGGGTTAAAATGCCGGGTCCATGTTCTTACTTCATTAGCAGCCTATTTCAAACCTAAACTCAATAAAAAAAGTATCCACATCACTACCCACATAAAGTCAAAATAACAAGGACGAAAGATGTGAGAAAACACTGCCCCTTGTGTCTCTCTCCTCATATTGCTTGCTGTCGGCACAAGTTTTACCTTTAAAAGAAACCCAAATATATACTAATTTCTCACCTTCTTCATGAAAACAAGTGAAATGTTTTTTTTCTAGAGAGAGAAAATTTGTAATTGTATGAGAGAGAAAGAGAGAGATCGATTGCTTGTTCAACCAAGGTTCCTTGTCGGTTGGACCACCCTGGACAATTAAAAGAAACAGGTTTAGTTTAAAAGGGTGTGTGATGTCAGTCGCAATTAGAAATAATGATTGTTGTAGTGTCAGCTAAACAACTGAATTGCTTCATCTCTTGGGTTTCTACCCAATACTTCTAAATTCCCACTTCCTAATTATGCCCAATAATGCCACGTATCTGTATTTATTTCAATCTCCATGCACAAAGTCGACGTCTACATATATAATATTTATATATAAATATATACACAGTAGTGATGTTTTCCAAGTATTATCTACTACTGTATATGTTTTATATATATATATATACACACACATACACACACAGTATACTGACATGTGTATGTGCCATTACACTATTAGAGGATAATTGGCAAACATCACTGTTCTATGGCCAACTTCACTTACCTTACCAAAAAAAAAAAATCATAGACTTCTAGCACCTTCGAACTGGATCCCAAGCAATTGATCAGCTTGAACCCGACGTGAAAATTTAGGGTTCTAGTCTCTCTCGATCTCCATGATCGATTGACTCTGTTGTAACATAATCACATGAACATGAAAATCTGATTCAGATTTACACAATTGATCGATATGGTATTAGGAAGTTAAAATTATAAGTATAGGATCATCAATGGGTTAGTAAGACTTAGTCGTGTGGCTTACCCGTATTACTCTTAATTATTAAACACTGTCAAATCAATATATACTGTATAATCTATTAAATCCAACTGGTTTAATTAGCATTTATGCTGTACCGCATTACCAACTTAATTAA